GAGAAACAATCCAGAAGAGAGGGAGGAATGGGTAAACCGACATTGTGAGGGATATGTTGATGTATCAACGCATATATATATATATATATATATGACAAAAAGACAAACAAAAAAAAATTGAATATAGCATCGCAGATACCCCATGTGACACTACATTTACAGGAGTAGCCCGAAAAAATGGATCGGTTGAGAAAAAGAACTGACCTTAAGACTCTATTAAAAGTGGATGGTAAACAAACAGCAGTGTCCCACCATAGAAGATACTGAAATAAAACAAGCCACATTTGGAGGGAATGAACTGAAGATGACAAACACGTCGTATGAAATATGATGTATGGAAGAAAAAACAATATAGTTAAACTAATGATTGATATACCAGTAAGATGAATTACAGGAAATCCAAAAATAACAAAGACCATGGTAAGCTTAAGTGAATGGTATAAGACACATAAAGATGGTGAAAGAAGTTTTTACATAATTACACTTTGAATCATTACTGTAAATAAAGAGAGTGAAAAACAAATCTAAAAACAGAGTGACCCACCACTTTATGCATACAATGAGTGAACAGTTTTGAAATTAAACACAGAGTAAATCATCATTTTACTAAGTACAGTCATGTAGAATATTTTAAAATAATTACATAATCACACTGTTATTAGCAACAAGGACAGAGTAAAAGAAAATCTAAGTACTCAGAAAATCATCATCAAATTAAAGTGCAAAGTGAAAAAAGTTCTCAACAGAAATTCAGAGTTAATTATCTGTTAAAGTACAGTGTGTGTATAAAATATTTAATTCTGCATATAACAGCAAAGTAAAAAACAAAACAAATTGTATTCTTTAAACTAAACCAATAACTGTGATACAGTCTCTTACATATCTATTCAAAAAGCTCTGTATATAATTAAACTGGTTATTTACTTCATTCTATGAACAATTAGTAAATACATATGTACATGTATATAAACATAAAGTGAAATAATTTCCATAAGTACACATAATTTATACAGCTACTTACGGTGTTTCTTCAGGAAAATGTACATTTCCACTGACAACAGCTAAAGCTACACTATCTCCCCGTTCATAAACAAAGTCAAAAGGTGACTTGAAATAACACATGGCATATAAGCAGCAACCTAAGGACTACATATAAAATATGATTTGGTATATTTGGAACTACATAAATAATGTTTATACTGATACTTATTAAAAACTTTTTAAAAGAAACTCATTCTTTGGGGAATAATATGAGTACTTCGTTTATTACACCCTTCTCTTATTAATTATATGTTAAACAAAAGGAACTAGCTGCCTATTTTTTTCCTTTTTTAAATAATAAGCTTCTAAATAAAATGAACAATTTATTTTTATAAAAATATTCATGACACTGAAAACTTTAAAATATAAAAACCTGTAGAAACATTTTACTTCAAGACAGATGTAATGTTACAATTAGTTTCTGATCATTCACACAGGACTGAACAATGTTTCTTATTAAGTGGTGATTTCAGTAACAATGAAAAATGATAAGCTGAAGTGTGAACCAATAAATGGAATAGCTTTGGACCTTTTACATTACTCAATGTTAGGTAACTCATTTTCATAAATGCTTATGGCATCACCATATAATAGAAATTCAAGTATAACAAACAAAATGTCTGTAGATAAACAAGAGCTTTTATTTGAGAAATTGATTAACTTTTAGAACAATTTAAGTGTCATAATAAACACATACTTACCCATATATCTACTCTTTCATCAATAGAAGTATTACATTCAACATTAAACAATTCCGGAGCTTTGTATGGCATTGTGCACCTTTCAGCTGCCAAATCCTGCAAAAGAAATTATAATGACAAAGTTAACAGTCAATATAATCAATAACAGTTTGTCTTAAATAAATTATTTACTAACAATAAGAAACTACCAAACTTAAGACAAGAAGAATACTAATAACAGCTTTAACACAACTGCTGCAGGAAAATTTAAAAATAGAGAAAAAAACTTAAGAGCTCTATCTAATCAAATACAATGATCAAGCGTACATGACGTTACTCGTGTTGATTTATATTTACTGTTGAGTCAGCATGAGATACAGTTTATACTCACAGAACATAGACCAACCAATTAAGTGCAATTTATTCTGAAATTTCAAAAGCTTAACAATCAAGTAGGTGAATTTTGTAAAACTAAATAGAGAATGGCTTAACAAATTTAAATAGTATATTCTAGGAAGAGATTATGTACTGTATAACAGGTAAAGAATTTCTTAACAGTTTTCTCTTTTTAAAGGTATTGGATCAAAAGTGAAAGTTTCTTTTAAGATATTGACTTCAAAAACATAACCAGCTCACTAAAATAATGTTGATTCTGTTCTTAAGCAATCATAAATTGCAGAAAAGATTTTAAAGTAAAGTGTTTAGAGAACAAGCCTAAAACAACATACCTGTCAACCTCTAATACTCATGAATGAATGAGAAAATTAAGAAGCTGGGATCCAGAGTAAAGCCCTGTTGTGGGGCCCAAGGGGGTAAAGCCATTTTTAGAATCTAAATGGAGGGCTTTGGTGGTTTTTCAGCATGTTGTTAAAACAGAGATGAAAGGAGTTTTTTCACATAAAATACTTATATTTCTTATATTCAACAATTTTTAATTATTTGAAAACAATGTTAAAAATCCACACTACACCTGTATACTTACAAGTGTATTCAACATACAAAGGTCACAAAAATTCAAAATGAATGGAAGTATGTCAAGTTTAAAAATTAAACTTCTTTGTCCATTCTGGATTGAACTTAGTATTATACTTTGCAGCACCTTGATATTTTGTCAGTTGGGATTGTTTCGATGTTGATGGACCATCAGATATCAAACTGCTTTCATTCATCTTGTTTACTAGATTGAGAACAAATGGTTCATGCTTGATAGTATGTGATAGCTCATTTCACTGGTTATCAAGCAAACAAAGAACCAATCATTCAATGAGATACATGCAGACTAACTACTATCTTAGTCTGGTCCTATCCTTACTACTCACTGCATACATTTGAAGTAAAGGACCAGAACCATTCTAACAGTTTTGCAAAGAGAATTCCATGTTTAATATCACATGATGAGAAAAAAAAAGAAATTAAACACCATAATCATGAGAGCATGATCTGTGTTCAAAATGTGCTAGTCTTACACAATATGTGTGAGAGTTGAAATAAGGAATTTTAAATGATCTACTTCAACTATACATAAATGCTTTAACAATTTAAATGTCAGCCCAATGTTGACTGCAATAAGATATAACACTCTTCAGTAACATTAAACTTCATGTATTTTTACTCTGCAATATGAGATGTAGTAGATATATTTGTTTTAGCATTAAATCACTTTAATTGTTAAGCATAACACAACTACACTAGTAGAAGAGTAAAGAAGACAGAACCTAAAATGTAGAGAAATTATCAAAAAATACAAATCTCTCATACGAACAATTTTAAAAGAATTTATTTAAAAACAATTTCACAATTGTATGTTTTAAGTTGTTTACCAATATACATATATTTATTAGTCTCAAAGTGGGTTCCTCGTCATCGAATATATATATATATATATTTTTGTTGTTGTTGTTATATTTCATGTAAAGCTACTCAGGGGCTATCTGCACTAGTTATCCCTAATTTTAAAGTGATAGAGGAGAGGGAAGACAGCTAACCAACTCTCGAGCTACTCTTTACCAGCAAATAATGTGATTGACCATCACGTTATAATGTATTCACAGCTAAAAGAGTAAGCATATTCAGTGATGGGTTTTGATCCTGTGACCCACAAATTGTGTCAAATGCTCTAACCATCAGTACATTTATCAATATAATTTGTCTTTAGTAAAGATAAAGGAAAAATATTAAGTAGATCAAGCACTTCAACAGTTTGAAACACTTATTTATTATTTTAGCCTTGAAATTAATGCAAGTTTAACACAGAAACTCATGATTGTTGCTACAGAATGCACCATCCCACTTTTGTTAATGGTGGAAAAATAATTTAATATTGAAACTGTAAAAAAGATAAAAAGTTACAATTTTTAGAAATATTTTTAAGACACACTACAAATAGTGCTCAAATAACCAGAAAGTAAAATTTCTACAAAACCCATTTTTGTAATGTTGTTATTTTGTCCTATATTTTTATAATAGACACTCCCATTATTGATTACACAAGTCAGAGTGCTTGCATGAAATTTATTGAAAAAGAAAAAACAGTAAAATAGCAAATATATTTTCTTCTTGAGCAAATGTTATTGCACAGTCCCAGTAAAATTGCCACTGTTTTTAGTATTTTGTTGCATAAATGTATGAAAATAAAATATTTTGAAACAAGAAATTTAAAAGCAAATTTAAAATGTGTTCAGATTAAAATATACAATTTGATCATTTTTTTTCAATTAACGATAAAATTAAACACACCAAATATTGTTGGAACAGTTGGAGCTCACACATCATGACAAAAAATCCTCAATCTCAAGAGTTTCATTGTACAATTTAATGTCTCCAAACTAGAAAAGATGAATATAGTGATTTAAATTGGTCAAAAAGTTTTAGCTTGCTAGAGCAAATGTGGAAACGTTTAAAAAGTGTTAGAATTAAGGTGGATGGAAAAACAAATTAGATATATCATCTAATTATACATAAGTGCTCAAAGGAGAAATACCAGAAATACATGATCATGGTTTATCATGCTAATAAAATCACCAGTACATTTGAGTATTTGTATAAAGAACTAGAAAACAAATGGAAACTTTCTAAAGAAAAATGGATTTTCAACGAGCATTATTAATAACATCATACAGAATTATTCAGAAGTTGCATCAAACAAGTCACCTATAACATTCCCCCACAAAGATGACACAACTAAGATGACAAAACACAGGATACGACTTTTTCATAAGAAGCAGAAAAACAGACAGCACATCACACAACAAAAAGTGAAGGTTATGCGAGTTGTATAATGAGCCACAGGCAGAAAATGCATACATGTAGAAACCTTTAGGAAACTATTCCCATCTACTGGGTGTTGATATTGGACATACATGCTTATCTCTTCAGGCACTACAAAAACTATAGAGCAGTGAAGATAAGTGTGTAAATAATACGCACACACATAAAAAAATAAATAACTCAATGTGTCTGAGCTTATTATTAGCTATGTTTTGGGTAACTGTTCTCCATTATGCATCAGAGCAAAGTGATGATGTAATCTCTTACTTTGGAGAAGATTTCAAACATGTGTAAAAACATTTTCATTTACCTAACTGAGTATACTTATATCTGGATAAAAGAAAAATTAAACAACTTGATTTAGAATTTACATTGCAGGAAAAAAATAAGTATGATATATTTTGCTCTTTTATTGTTCACAAATTACATTACAGTATTTGGATAAATTAAATGGACTGGCTGAGTTTCCTGTAGACCTAAGCACAAAAATGTAAAAGGAATTTTTCAAACTATATTATATTTGAAGAAATCCCTTTAGATTTTTGGCCTTAAAATACATATATTTTAAATTTAGATGTTACATTGAGACTAGGTAATCCTTCAGAATGATACTTTATTAAAAATAATTGAAAATATATGTATTTATTAAATGCAATAATCTACAATTTTTGTAATCACACACTTTACTGAATGGTTATTTACCACATTAAACCTATAATCTCTCTCCTACCAAATTAGATACATTTTAAATTTCTTTTATGTATTTGTAATATATATATATATTGTAAAAGAGTAATGAACAGAAATTGAAAGAGATTCTGACTGACATAAGCACAATTTGTTTCTTTGCTATTCAAAATCAGTTTAACCCTTTCTGAACCACAGGGGTGTCACTGATATCCAAATGTTTTTTTTCTTTCTCACACTGGAAATACTTAACTAAATTGAATAAAACTTCATACAAACTTACTAAATAGTACCTAGTTTCTACTTGAAAAATTCACATAATTTAGCATTTCTATCTGTTTATGGGTTGTGAACTACCAAAATTATGTTGCAAGACACTGTTTCGAAAAAACATTCAACAAGCTTCCTTTCATTTTAGAATTCTTTTTATAAGTATACTCAGTTTCAACTTAATTGATATTAGTTAACATATTTCTTTCAATACTTTATTTTTTTAGCTGAAGACACCACTTCTAACTATAAATCATAAGAAACATGGGAAAAACTGACAAAGATTTATTGATAACCTAGGATTTAACTTTCAAAATAGTATCACAGTCACCTTCATCAGTTATTGTGATTTTTTTCCAACAGTATTCTTAGTTGAGATCAATTTATATCTGATAAATAATTTTTTCCAATAAATAACAAGTTAAATTATTTGTATGTATTGTTTCAATGTAACAAACCTAACAATCACATTCAATAAAAACAGGATTTGATTCATTTGAACAGTTCGTCATCATTTACAATATTTGCTCAATCTAACAAAATTTACCTGATGTCTCTCATAGACGAAAATCCTGTAGCTTTCAAACTAATACAACTTAACACCAAAAACATTTTCAGAATAAAACGAACATGAAAAGAAGCTGTGGTTTGTTTCTAAGCATTCTAAATGTTGCATTATAATCTTTTGTTTGCTCCTGTTTGAGTTCCAGGTAGCCAATATGTTGACAAGTCATAAATCACTTTATTTACTCTATATCATATAAACAGATTAGAATCTCTTCTATTCAATCATTTTTACTCATTTTCTCTAGCTATTTTTAAAGTTCAGCTTCATCAGTAATTGTTCAGAACACATGCTGTGGCATAATAAAAAGGTGTACAAAAGGTTGAAGTAATAAAACCAATGATAGTGAAGGAAAGTTATATTAAAAACAAGACATTAATCATTATATTTTCAGGGATAAAAATTTTTTAGCAAATATAAACCTATACATTAGGATGAGTAGAAAAATTAGAGAAAAAAATCAGTTATAAACAAGACTCCTTTGAGCTACTCTACAGTTGGAATTTTTTTTCATTTTTCTCTACAAGATACAGACAAAAAAGTTAGAATAAGATAACAATTCTAAAATGTTTTTAGTAAAATAATTGCTGAAATAAGGATAGAATTATATTTTTCACTTAAATTTAGAAATTTGATATGCAGATGTGCACTTCACATATGAAAAGTACCCACACTCATGCTAGGGTTAAATTTGTTAATTACCATTAAATTTGGTAGTATTTGCCATACCAGCTGTTTTAAATTATAAAGTGTATGCAAGTTAATAACATGTAACATTTAAACAAGCATTTAAAACGTTCTCATATGCATGCTAACATAATTTAGGGTTATTAGGGCAACATACTGAAGATGCAGCAATTATTATATAATCATACACTATTCAAATACATATGTAATGAGCCAGTTTTAGATAGTGTACAGATAAGCAACATAAAACAAATTTTGTAGATGCTGCTCTCAAGAAAAGAAAAAGTTGAAAATAATTTCCTTAATACTTACACTACACTGATAAAAGTGTAAAAATACAACCTACTTGTAAAGCTAATGCTTCACTAGCTTTGTGAATTTCCATTCTAGCTTTGCTCATGGAACCAAAATCCATCCATACTGGGGTGTCATCTTGATCTAACAAGACATTAGCTGGTTTCAAATCCCTGAAAAATAAAGATTGAAACAGAATATTTTATGAAGATACCAAAAATTCATACCTAATAATTAACTAACTACTAATGTACAATAACATGAGAAGACAATTTCAAATGCATTTAGTTTACACTAAGTCAATTCTTTATTTAACTTCAATTTATTTTTCTAAATCAACAGCAGAAATAAGGACAAAGTGTTTTAGCATGTAAGACAAAATAACTGTTATAAAGAACATAAACTAAATACTATATCTTTTTATTAATAGTGTAAGTACAACTGTTGTTGTATAAAGAGTAACTAGAAAAAATTAAAAGTGAATAACTTTGACCACATATCAAAGTATGCATATTTTGTTACTAGTGTAAGATATGGTTTTCTATCAGATTTCAATGAAACTTTTTTATTACTTCTGATGATATTCAAGTTGTGTTCTTCATGTGTTTATTCATAAATATTTACAAATCTCAAAGATTATATTTTGCATAACATTGTTGTTTTAAAGAAGAATAAGTTTAAAAAAATAGGTAAAAGCAATACAGGCAAAATTTTAAGCTACCAATACTTTGGTGTTATGCAAGAGAGAGAGGGCTTTCAAGTTAAAATCAGTTAGGATGTACCATGTTAATTTTAGGAAGTGACTAATAAACAAGGCATTTGAGGGCTACCAAGGTCCCTAATGGGTCCAGGGTGGCATTCTTGTGGAGTCTTAGCTACCTGAAGTATAGAACAATACATAGCACTCACTGGACATGAAAAAGAGATGTCTGACCTGAATGATTGTCTCTTCTTGGTAAGCAAGTAAAACCAATGAGAGAGAAGCAAAAACAAACTGTGCTTTGTTGTAAACCATTTCTGTCAGGGTAAAATTACTTGCAGAAATGTCAGTCTGAAGCATGATTTTAGGTGAAGTAGAAAACCATGGGTTTTTTACTATCAACTGACTATGACTCAACTGCTCAGAGGAACCTGAAAGATTAACAGCTTAGAGTTCCAAGTCTTGGTAAAAGAAGTAAATCAAATTCTTAATCGAATCTATTCTTAAAATATTTCCCATGATAATTTGGCTTATATCAAAAGCATATGATGCTGCTTTAAGACAAAACAAAACCTGAAAGGAACTGTATGGCAATAGAATAGAAACTAATACAACTAGCTACAGAAAACGACAGGGTAACCTAAATAATCCACAATAATTATGAACACATAGGTCTGATAGACTAGAAGGCTATTTGGTTGCAAAAGAAGATGACACCTTCACACACAGAAGGAACTTTCCTTACTTCTAAAGCAAAATTCAGAAATTGAAAAACAAAGCCCTTTTACAAGAAGTTACAAAAAGTAATAAATTTAAAGTGAAAAAAAAAAACAGCACGTTTTATAAAATCACTGTTGCAACAAACTCATGATGATTTTTAAAAATTAGCAAGAGAAAATGACACCATAAACCAGAGATAAAACAATGCAATGGTGATTTCCAGACAAATGCTTATAACAAAGAGCATGAATCATGTTTTGTATCTTGCAAAAAAAACCTACATAGGAATAAATTCCATACAACATAAAAAATAGCAAAGATGAAATGGAAGTGGAGTTAAATGTCTGATTCTTTGTAAAATAACTGCTCATCTTAGTAATATTTTGAATCTGTCAAAATTTCATCAAACTTTCTTCAATGTTAAAAAAAAATGTGCTAGGTAATGTATGTACAGTTATGTGTATGCTACTGTAGCACAGGATGGTTCCATGTGTTTTTTTATTCTCTTACTTTATAAATTTTTTAAACTCTATTTTCTGTCATTTTAGTTCTGACTTGGAAGGTTGTTCAAGACACACACTTGAACCTCTTTGCTAATTGAAAATTAACTAAGTTTCTTGCAGAGAAGATAAAATGTGACACCAAGTAATATAAATATGTCTTTTCTGTTGGTGAATCAGATAATGGCCTATGGTTTACTCCACCCCAGTGTGAGTGAACACAGGTCACAAGCAGAAGTTTTTTGTGTGCAAACCTGACTTATGTTATTACAGCATTTTGTATTTAAAAAAAAGGCTCTTCTTGGTTTAGTAGATTTTGCTGCAATTTTTTTGTAATTTAAATTTCACCAGGCTTTTGAGTTTTTGCTGAGAATGAGATTTTTAGTAACTTTTGTATCTTTGCTTAACTTTTTTCTTTCTTTTTTTAACTTTGGATTTGATTTTACTTTCTAACTTTGTTTTAGTTTAACTTGCAAGGAGGAGGGGGGCACACACTGGACTGGTGAGAGAGAGCTCACAAAGGTTTCACTTCCATTTTTATCACTCCAACACACCCACTTGCCCTCTTTTGTTTTGTTTCATCTTATGTTAGTAGCAGTGATTGTGTTTTAGCAATGTAAATAAAGATTATTCTTGTTGTTCTTTTGTTCTGTGATTTGACTCTTTCTTCCTGATGAACTCAGTTAAAATCAGAGACATAAGCAGACAAACAATCCATAACTTGGTATCCTTTAATGTTCCAGTTAACAAGCCTTAAGTGACTACTCTGAGGAAAATACGCATGCCACAAAACACCACACTATACTACATACAACACATGGTAACAACCAGTACTTTTTACAATAATACCAAGATTCAGGTTACTGTTAAAACAGTAATGTGATATTAGGATTATTAATCCTTTCATGTACACCCATTTCAGGATGGATTCAATGAAAAAAAGTTATACTTAATACATATATTCTGAAAATTTACCTCTTTGTTATAGTTCTATCTAAAAATGTTTTTGCAACTTGGAAGAGAAGGCCGTATGAAATCACCATAATCTAGACAGTATACCAAGAACAGCAAAAAACATTTATATATCTGTAGTAATTCTTCATACATGTGAGACAATTATCCCTATGTATATAGCAGAAGGTCAAAGTGCATATGTCACAACTTTTTTTACAGGGTTACATTCAAAATTTAATTAAACAATTTTATTATTAATATTTGTAAATATATTGGGTATAAAAACATAGTTTATAAGTCATTCTTTTATATTATTTAAGTCTTAATTTCAAAATGCAATATTTAAATAAATTCTTAATCTTGGTTTCTGGGTGTCATGTGATTCTCTTATTTTCAGTTTTCAGCATTCTCTTCTATGGCTGCCAGAGAGGCAAATCAATCATAATCTCAAACTATAGATATTGACAGGTCATAATATAACATTTAAATCTCCTACCTTCTCAAATTATGGAGATATAAATAAATTTGTGACACCCTCCACTGAGGCTTTTTCCATCTTGTCATAATTTAGAACAAATTTTCTATGGATTTACCTTTCATAGATATGTTTATAACCAACAGAAATCTGTCCCCTACAAAAATGTGCTAAAGTTTATTTCATTTTGGCATGCATTTGAAATAAACATTTAAAATACTTTGGACCAACAACACCGTTGCTAAAAAGTAAGAACAAAAGTGAAAGTCCAAACATGTAAGAACTCAATTTTTTTTAATGCAAATGTAAAAATTAGAAACTTATTACATTAGATAACTTATATTAAAAATTAAGTAAAATATTTCTCATGATATTCAAAATTGTAGTGTGATATAAGCATGAGGTGTGTGTAATTCACTTATGTTGTGCTTGTAACTTGATCATTTGTTTACACAAATGGGTGTAATAGATGGTTTTCACCATACATTTAGGGGTCTATGTGCAACTGGAAAACAATAATACTAAATGAGCTCAGACTTGAAAAGCCTATCAGCATTGGCTGTTAGAATATATAGCCATTGTAAAAGAGAAAGTGTAATTTAGATTTCCTGTTTTTCAACTTTACCCTACATGGTTGATTTTGTTACAATTAGTGTTAGTGTAGAGAAAATAACAGATAATATATAGTTTTACTGACAAAAGACTTTTGATATTCATTTAAGAGGTTCTAGAGATTAAGCAAGTAAAATATGAAAATTTGATTTTAAAAATAGTATTTTCATTCTTAAATCACTCAGACTAGTTAGTTTGAGTCAAACTGACTTAGCAAATTCAAAGACAAATCTTTAGTAAAAATATTTAAACAAAAATTCTGATTTTTTTGTTTATAACGTACTTGAATTGTTAACTAAAAGCTTACCAAATTTCATGAAGATACACTTCGTAAATACAGAATTATTGTAAACATTGCTAGGTATAGCTTCATAGAAACTGGATTGATGTAAATTATTAATGTTTTTCAAACTGGAATATAACCAGGCAACTGCTGGCAATTTTTCTGACACTTAAGGTACATTTTGAAAGTACCAAATGTAATGTTTTTTTTCCTGGTTTTGCTAAAAAAATAAATAAACAACACCAGTCTGTTGGGAACAAGTTGTACTGTGAACATGAAAATTTTCTAAATTACAAATAGAGAGAAAATAACCAACTGCATATAACAATCTCATGTAGTGTGTACCTCTTGCAACAATTAGGCAGTGATACCTATTACAAACTAATGTCTGACCAACCTATCATATTCAAAAGTTATTAACAATTAACTTCAAAATAAAACAATCAATTACATTATTAAAAGAATATTACAGACTTTATAACATTACTATATTGAACAATGCTATAAATTTCTAAAATGCACCTTGAACTAACACCTTCTTTTCAATGTCCTTTAATACATTTTTTTTAAATAAAAAAATCAAAGATATTATGATTTACCTGTGTGCAAGTGCTATGGGTTGTGCTGAATGAATAGCCCTTACTCCTTCACACATCTGTCTGAACAATCTAAGCACTCTTAATTCTGGAATGTAATTTTTGGATTTGGCTCTCATCATAAGTTCATCTTGAAGAGTTCCTCTCTATCATCAGTAAAAAAGGTAAAAAAAAATTACAGTAAATACCATTACTAATATTTTAATATTATATTGCAGATCTACATATAGTAATGGGAATAATTATAGAAACACAATGACAACATACAGAAGTCACAAACAATGATGGTGCATTTATTAACGGTAGAAAATCTTTTTATAAAAAATACAAGAGAATAAGTGTCCAATGCACTACCATCTTTTACTCCAGTCCTATGATTTACACAGAGCATAAAACCTTGTTTTCATATTAACACAGAATTTATCAATGCATGATTACAGAATATTGTTCAAAAGGTGGTGTACTACTCTCCAAAATTTAGTCAAGAAACTCGAACAGCATCAAGAATTTTCATATCGTAATTTCTGCAGACTAAGTCATGGTTGTGAGTGCTCTTTACCAGACTTTTTACAATCAAAATGTTGTTTTACTGAATTGGGATCATTGTCTCATTGGAAGATTAATCTCTGCCCAAGATAATATTTACAGCAAGGTCAATTGAAAGAACTGTACTTGACTATTGCTTATTTTATAAAGAATACTCCCTAAGATATCTAACATAAATTTTGAAGAGTTTTAGCTTTTCTACCTCAACCACATTTATTATTAAAAGTGTCAGTTTCCTGAACCCTCTTAAGCCCAGCATACAGCTCCTAATGAAACATCAAGTCTTGACACAAGTTTTTTGCATGAAGTATCTTTGACCAGTTGAAACTTTTATTTCTATGTGTTTATATAATACTTCACTCCTGGAAACCATGACTAGAATCACACTACTACTTCTGGGCATAGTATGACTATCTCTTCTTTTATGACCATTATTCTGGTATGGCACTTTCTTATTGGTTGGATGATAATCAATCAGTGCAAACTACTAATACCTGAATTTACTCTGGTGCAAGTCATTTTACCACAATAAAGGGGTAGCATTCCCACAATATTTGTCTTTTATACCCCTTTTCTTCACTGTTTCCATAATTATTCCAACTCTGTGAGTATATATGTTTTATTTGTGTGTATAACTGTGTTTATATAAGTAGGAGCATAAAAGCCTATATAGTGAAAAGGATACTTCATATTGATTGTGTTAATTTATAAATTCAAAACTTCACTTCTTAAGTGTTGGTGTGAATGATTATTGACTTTAAACATTATAAGGCATGAACGTGAAAAACAAGGTACAAAACTTTATTGAATTTTATAAATAATCTTATTTACATTGTGTTAAGAATACAATTTTCATTACCCAAAAGCAGAGTTTCCTCCATAGTTAATGCTAAGATAGGGTACTTACATAACCTTGTGACCTGTGCATTTCAAAGTTCTCTGAATGAATACAATCAAAACAAGTTAAATTTTTTCAACCTGACAAGTGCCACACCCACCTTCAACAGACTTGTTTCAGCTTTATAACCTACACATAGATGTTACATATACATGTGAATATAGCCAATAGAAAGAGGTCATTTTACACTATAATCTAACAACTGTTATTTTTAAATTGGTGTACAATTGTCATCACAGAATACATATAACTGACTGTAGTAGTATTGCTGGCTGCTTGATCGACTATAGCACATATGGCTGTTTCTTACTTAAATAAGTTATAGTCAGGGATACAGTTTAAATTGTACTTAGGTCTTACTGTTATAGTTAATTATGTATTAGTTATGTTATAAAATGCATAATCAAAAGGTTTAAACATTTGTTAAATACACATCATACTTTGTGTCCATTCTCAAGGCTTACGATATTACGTGCTGAACAAAAATTTTGCTGAAGGGATGTGCATGTCTCCCAAAAAAACTGTAATATGCCTTGATGGCACCGTTGACTTGTGTCGTGATGAATAATAAATGGTATAGGACAAGAAAAGAAAATATTAAAAACTATCTATAAATGAAAAGGAAAATATTTAAAGATATTCTACAAAAAAATTTAAATGTATGTATTTTTTTTCTATTTTCTAATTTTAATTATTTCATCGCATTTTACTCTGATGATAACAGCTAGTGTTAGTGATATGGTAGAGAAAATGAAAAATAAAATTAAACATTTACCTTAAAAAATTAAGATATCCTTTTTTGGAGGTTCTAGAGATTATGCATATGAAATATGAAAACTATAAAATAAGGAAAAGTATTTTTATACTTAAAATTAAAATCACCTTGCACTCGATTTGTTAATAGTTTGAGTAAATACAATAGATAAATAATATATGTTTGATAAAAAAAACTTAATTATAATAACATTATTTTTTGTGTACAAGATACTTATGAACTTCAACAAAATCTTACCAATTTTTGAGAGTATACATTAAGAAATCTCAGAGTTACTGTAAGTATTGTTGTACAAGTTAAATTTATGACTTGATTTCCACAAGTTTCATGAGCTTGATGCAAAAGGGTTATTAACAAGAAGAAATATTTCTCTTTATGAAACCATATCGTAGACTCTGGAGCCTGTAATATGATTATGAAAGGAAACTAAAGTAATAAATAATAGAAATTCACATCAAAAGCTCTGACTGAAATTATTTCAAAAATGTGTATCTTTCTTTCTCAAAATCAAGAAAATAAAAGTAAGAAAGATAAACACTTTGAATGTTCACAAAAAGTTAAAATAATAAGACAAAAAAATCTCATGATTTTTAGACATCGGACAGTTAAAAACACAATATGTTTGTATTTATATTTAAGTACCATAGAAATATAAGTTAAAAATTATGGCCACGTCACTTTTTGATTATTTGCCCCCACCCCAGCCCTACAAGCTCCCAAAGTTAGTGCAACAGCCATCCTTTGGGATCATTTGGTCAAAAAATTGGGTCAGAGGTAACTGACGTCACTCAAGGTAAACAAGGCCAGTTGAGGTCTCCTTTCTCTCTCTCTGTGCCATTTTGTGCATGGAAAATTGTTGGTTTATGTGAAAATAATGTTGTTGTTTTTTTTGCACAAATTTCATTTGACAGACATCGTGAATGCAGTTATTCATGAATAAGTTGTTCCAGAACGTAAACAACTATGTTTTTTGCTGTGTTTTTTATGGATGTGGAACTTTTCCCAAGGAAAAGAAGGTATCTCTGAGTAAGTTTCCACCAAAGTCAGACAGAAAACGGCACATGACCTGGACAAAGTTTGTATCAAAAACTCGTGATAAATGGAGTCTGATCGAAAGCTGCTATGTATGCAGTGAAAATTTTTTGGAATCAGACTTTGAAAATAAACTCTAATTTGATATGAGATTTGCAACAAAACTGCCGCAAGAGAAAGATGAAGTGGCCAGTGTGTATCATCAGCATGGCGAGCAGCAGTGGCATATCAGACTCTTGTTCATAGACCGATAACAGTGATGATAGTTGCATCCAATCAGCTGTTCAAAAACAAGAGGCATACAGGATTAAGCTCAAGTTTTAGCTCGTGCTTTGAGAGTAATATAGAATAGTCAGCAATCATTCATGTTTTATAAACACACTAGCAGATCTGCTAAAACAAAAAATATTTATGAAATTTCACTTTCAGCTACTATTTACCAAAAGAGGGCATGGACAAACAATTCTGTTTTAATTATTTATTTTTCATCTTTATAGCACTTTTTTTTTATGAAATTTTATTCGAGATGTCAATATGCAACATAAAAAATGCTAAATATACAATATTGATTATCGAAATATGACCCCAGCTATGTTTGCTTTTCCAGTTCTAATGTATACTTAGTCATATGCATACAAATCGGAGTATGTGCAGAATACAGTATTGAGAGCCCATCAGCTGATATTAGAACTACATCTAGATATAGATCCATCACTTGAAAAAACAAATATTAACTAGAATTTACTCCTAGATTTACTATATTATTGCCCATTGGACCATACTGACGGCTGTAAATTTTGTCCCAATTTCATGACATTAGCAGTGTAAACCAGTCTTTTATGACATTGTAGCATATAACTATCTAAACAATTCCATACCAAGAAAGATTAGACAAATGCCAGTACTGGTCCAATTTGGCTGACATGTAAACATTACACACTATTGTCTGCAACCTCTGGTTAAAACATATACGGTACGATTAACACTTTATATACATTTTCCTCTTCATCTGCTGTTGCCATTTTTGTTTACATTTTGTGACATAGGTTTGCCACCCCAAGTTCATCATGTGGTGCTTCAGCTAGTTTTTCTTAAAGCTAGCCAACCATGACCAAATATGTCTTGGAGCCACATGAGCTTGAATGTTTCATGACTTTTTTTAACTGCATTATTTTTAGTGAGATACAATATACACATTCAAGCATGAAAAATGCCCTGTTGTCTGTGGTCTTTAACACAAAGGAACAATTCAGTACCTATGAAAAGTAATGAGATTTTGGTATACACAAAGTGCTCAAGGGGAATACTGCACAATAGGATATGCTGCCTTACTACTGTTGGAAGGCTATATTCTAATGCTGATTGCATCAAAGACAGGTATAGCACATCTTATTATATGTAGGAGGTAGGAATTTTGTTAAAAGATTTGACACGTGTACAAAAACGTTTTGGCAGTAGCATGAGATATCAGCTATTTGTTCTGTGTAGAAATGAGTAGCATTTCAGAATCTTCCTCTTTGTATTTCATCAACCATTCAAGCATAGATGATTGATAGTAAAAGTTACATACCTTAAACACTACTTAAATAATTACTTTTTAAAAAGAAGTTTTTTTTTGTGCATCACCTGTAGGCTTAATACTATATCACTCAGAAACATTTTAATTATAGTTTTAACTCCTACAACGATTACTTCACCAACAATAATTATTTTAACAAAACTACCCCAGGTATCCAAATGGCTATTAGAAAGAAAGTTTAAGGTTGAAAACCTCACCGAGTTTCTCTAGCTTATTCATCAAAACAGGGGTTTTAGTTAGAATAAGTTTAAGGTTTATTAACTTTGTTCTTCACAAGTGGTTCAACCAATCAAAATATTTATACACAAAATAATTTTTACATTAGTACATGTAGCTTGCTTTTATCATGAAAAAATTATTACCATCAATATTTTGGTGCATCATAAAAAGCTTTTGAGTGTATAATAAATAATGCACTAAATATTCTATCATCATGTACTACCTCTACAATACAGTTGCTGAATTATAGTGCCTTGCAAAAGTATTCACCCCGTACCAGTAATGTCACATTTTGATGATATACAAATAATGTAAACAATTTTTTTAATGAATTTGTTTTATTTAAAACTCTAATTATCAAACTTAACATTGTTCTGTGAAGGAGGTTAAATGTCAGCAAAACCTCCAAAGAAAATATATAAATTGAAATTTGCTGACTGAATAAGTATTCAGCCCCATAAGTCAGTATTTGGTGGAAACACCTTTGGCAGCAATTACTGCTGTTTGTCTTTTTGGATAGGTCTTTACTAGAGCTGAACAATGGGATGGTGTAATTGTGCACATTCTTCATGGCAAAATTGCTCCAATTCTGACAAGTTCATTAGGGATTGTTGATGGAATGCAATTTTCAAGCCTCTCCATAAATTTTCTATTGGATACAAGTCAGGACTTTGACTGGGCTACTCCAGGATATTCACTTTCTTCTTTTGAAACCACTCCAGTGTGGTTTTGGCCTTGTGCTTTGGGTCATTGTCCTGTTGAAATATGAATTTTCAACCAGTTTTAGATTCTTGGCTGACTCAAACAGGTTTTCCTCTAGGATTCACCTGTACTTTGACCATCCATTTTGCCCTCAATTCTGACAAGCTTCATAGTCTCTGCCGTTGAGAAGCATCCCCATAACATGATGTTGCCACCACCATGCTTGACAGTTGGGATGGTGTTGACTAAATGATATGCTGTGTTGGGTTTGCACCAGACATAGCACTTTGAATTTAGACCAAAAAGCTCAATTTTTGTCTCATCTGACCACAAAACCTTTTGTCACGTCTCCTGTATCATTTACATGCTTTGTCACAAACTCCATACAAGATTCAAGATTATTCTTTTTCAGTGATGATTCTTTCTTGCCACTTGCCCATATAGGCCAGCTTCGTGTAGAGACCAGAATATTGTTGATGTATGAACACTGACTCTCATCTCAAAGTCAGTGGCATCCCAAACCAGTTTCTTGTTTACTTGGCTGCTTAGTTTGGAAGGGCAGCCTGATTTGGGTAGTGAATGGGTGGTATAAGCACATTCCACTTCTTAATGATGGACTTCACTGTACTAAAAGGGATAGTCACCAACTGTGACATTTTCTTGTAACCTTCTCCTGGTCTGTGTTTCTCTACCATTTTATCCCTGACTTGTTTGGATAGCTCCCTAGTTTTCATGGTTGGTTTGTCATATCAGTATGTGGGTTGTGGCTTGAACAGATGCATATACTCTGAAGTCAAGTTAAACCAGATTACACACAGACAAGAGACCATTACACTAATTTTGTGACCCTTCAAACTAATATTTTGTACCTGAACTGAGTTAGGGTTGCTGTAGCAAAGGGGTTGAATACTTATGCAATTGAGAATATTCAAACTTTCTTTGAAAACCTAACTTACATTTCTTAGCTTTCTCAGTCTGGAGTAAATTGTGTAGATTCTAAATATAAAGTCCCATTTGAAAGTATCATGATTACAAGTCAGGCAGCAACAAAATGTGGAAACTTTGCAGGGGGATGAATACCTTTGCAAGGTACTGTATATGTGAACCATAAAATATGTCCTACGATATTACTTCCTTACTATTATGACCTTGGAACAAATTTGCATCTGAAATAAATTTAAATTGTGCCTACAATGTTTATGATTAAATACTTTGTTTTCAACCATGAGATGCTCAGTTTGCTCCTGCTAACTTAATACAGGATTATTCCATCTTGAAAACCTTTACTTATTTAGAAAGTTAGTAAACAAACTTTTAGTGGTATTAAATTTTTAAGTTACTCATTCATTAGTTTAATATAATAGCAATATAATCTTTAAATAAGGAAAAAAAAAACTAATTTCAAAATATGTAATCTTACTCTGTAGTATGGGAAGAGTACACACACTTCGCTAACATGGTTACGACCCAGACTGTGTTTTTCCACCATACATCCATCGATGCATTCAACAATATTTGGATGTTTGAAACATCTATAATATTCCATTTCCTGCACGGCATTCCTTTCATCTTCTTTACTGTGGCACACAATCCTTTTGAGGGCAAAAGAGCGACGAGTCTCAGGATCATGTACCAAATCCACTATGCTAAATCCTCTATTATGAAGAAAAATATAAAAATCATTTAAATGTCTATCATAAACCCACTGATATAACGAATTAGCTTCCCAAATCATTAGATTTATATTATAAATGAAATCTTTATTTAAAACAAAGGGTTAAAAAATGAAGTTTTTGAGATAGTTTTGATACTAAAAAGAAGAAACACCTAAACAGCAATTCTTCAACTTAAGAATATGTATACTACTCCACTGTGTAATCTCTGACGTAACTGACAGGAATTAAAGTTCTCATTACTCAGAAATTTTCTGGGAAGAGCACTTTGAGAATGGAATGAACAAACTACAAACAACCATATCATTATGGTCTCCTGTTGATAATTACATTCTTAGTTATTATATTATCTAGTATTTAAATTAATATCTTGCAAATATGCAAATAGGAGATTCTTATTAGATCACATTGATTTTAAGTAATATTATACAGTTTTTGAACCATTGTTCAAGGTTTAATGACTTCACTTTGCTCATATGATTGTTTGAGATTTGACTATATTCCTTTATAAGCTTTATTCAAGATTTGCCTCAGTTAGTTTGCATTTCAACAGGGCAAATTATAGTTATATTAACTTTCTTCTACCCAGTTGTATTGGTGGTGATTATAATGTTTTTATGGATTAGAATTCAATACTTTTAGGTTTTTTGACTGCAAATTATGGCATTGGACTTAATACTTGATCATCAGACTTAAGTTACTGTTGTTTTTAGGTAGTAGTAGTACTAGGTATAGGAGAATAGTTATTAAATATTAGATTAAAATACAGAATAACCACAAGTGTTAGCTAACCAAGAAGGAGGATTTACTTACCTTGAGAATTATATTATTGTGTTTATTATTCAGTGGCTGCTGAGAATTTAATAAATCAGTAAAAATTTAAATTGGCAATTAATTACGTGTAACTACAAAAAGTGTAGTATGATAGAGTAAGGCAATGAACTTTGTTACCTATGAGCATTGATTATATCAATTAGTGTCACATAAAACAATCAATTCATCAAAATTACAAGTAAACCAATTCATGTTAAAATAATGAACTAATTGAAATTAGCATTTCCAATTATTCTAACTATCCAAGTAATCAAAATACTGCCATTATGATTTCTAATTATTATATTTGATTAGTTTGATTTGTTCAACTTAATTGATTAGCATTATGACTCTCAAAAATAAGCAATTAACTGAAATTGATGTTTCTGATAATTAAATTTTTAGATTATTCCAATTATACAAGTAATTGAAATATCGTCATTATGGTTTCTCATCATTTTTTTCAATTGGTTCAAATCTGTTCGGCTAAACGTAGTTACAGATGTGGTGTACATTAGAACTGGGCAATGAACTTGATTACCTATGAGCAGTGATTATATTGATTATAACAACAAAATAACTGATTAATTAAAATAATGATTAATGTCAATAAAATAATCAGCTAATTGACATTAGTGTTTCTGATTATATTAACTGTTCAAGTAATCGAAATATTACAATAATGATTTCTCATTATTATTTTTGATTAATTCATGTTTGTGTTCAGGTTAATTTATTAGTGTCACAACTCAAAAATAACTGACTAATTGAAATAAGTGTTTCCAAATTTTACCATTTTTAATTATTACAACTATCAGGGTAATTAAAATATTGCCATTATGTTTTTTCATTATTATTTTTTAAAATAAATTCAAGTTTGTTAAGCTTCAGGCTGATAAGGCATGATGATTAGGGTGGTTGCCTCCTAGTTCAATGATCACGGGTTTGATTCTTGTTACCACTAACCATACTTGCCTTTTCAGCCATTGAAGCATTACACTTGTTTCTCATTTATGGCAAAGTTGCTAAAGTTATCTTTCACCATTGCTAATTTTGAACTGAAGACTAAAGGGAAGGCAACCAGCAGGCAACACCCACCACCAACTCTTAGGCTACTCTTAAGACTACATGAAAGTTATTACTACTTCTGATGGCATGAGTGTGCATGGCAGTGTATATGCATTAACACTACATGCAACTCATGAATGAGTGGTTGTAACCTAAAGCCCATTGGTTACACAATTAGCCAGAGACAAAACAATAATGTAGCAACTTAATATACTGCTTACTTATTACAAGATACAAATGTAACCAATGTTATTTAGGGAAAGACTGCATTAACAAAAAAAAAAAAACTTATAGCAAATTAATATTCATTATTCTATATTCACTCAAAAACAAAACAAAAAGTTGATTGCTGAATAACTTGCTCATTTAACTATATTTGTCAGGAAATTACAAGATACAGTCTAATAACAATCTAACAATACATAACATTAAGTTGTTAACCTATTTATACAAGCAAATTCCTGTTTAATTATGACTATCTCTAGTTAGACAGGAAGCATTGAGAAGAGAAAACAAAAGTATGGCTGTTGACATGCGCTTCTTAAATACTGCCAAGTACAATAAGCTTTAACATTATACAACACACACACACACACACTGACAATAATATCTACTAGTTTTAACATGAAATTCAGGAATGATTACTTTTTATGAAAAATTACTTCAATAAGTTTTATTAAAGTAGTCCTGTGAAAAATTGTAGGGAGAAATCCACTGAACAGTATTAACTAGAACTTCCTAAATAAATATCAAGAATTTTTAAAAATAAAACTTTATACTTTATTTCATATCTTCCCTACCCTAACACTAACTGTAGCAAAATCATCAGTGCAGTGAAATGAAAAGTTGAAAATATGAAATAAAAAAATAACCTTTTTTTCTAGAATGACTGCAGACTATAACACATAATTACAATTATTTATTCTCACAACTGGAGCTTCTAACCTTTCCACATCTGATTTCTTTTAGTTTTATTGTTTTAACATCACTTTAGACTATATCATTTCGTGTGATTGAATGATCAAGTTACAATCACACCATGATGTGTGTGCATCATGGCCCAAAACTAAGGTATTGTTATGTCTCCGTTTTTTTAATTGATTTTCCGTAACTTCGTACCGACGAAACTTAAGCGACACAAGCCTTTACTTA